CATAACAAATTTTGCAAATACATTTTACAGGTAAACTGTAAAGCCAGTAATTTGGCATGTATTTTAGAATTAGGTAGACACCCTATTTTACTGACTAGTATGGAACAAATGATAAAATATTGGCTAAAAATAAAAACAATGAATGAAAACACGCTAGTCCATAAAGCATACAGACTTGGCATAGAGATGGATGTAGACTGGCACAGTCTGGGCGATTTTTTTTTTTTTTATTTAAAATTAAATAAAAAAAAATAGCGAAATGGAGGTGTTAACGCGAAATCCCCTTTAACCGCGAAATCACCCAGACTGGACGTTTTTGCCGCGCCCTCTGAGGTGAAAGCAGGAACTAGTGTGTTTTCATACTAGTTTTTATGTTAATGACAGGCAAGAACGTTATCCAATCAGAGTAATTTGACCTTTAAACTATATCTAGTTAACCTTTGTACCTGAAGACTTCACTTTTCTGCAAGTTTCTCGATCGTCAATCATAACAAACGAATTACTATTTATAACGTTCTGTACAAATTAGTGTAATGGAGAGAAGTAGCCTGGGTTACAGTGAAGCGCGATCTGCACAGAAGACCCACAATGTTTACCTCATTATATATAATAACAATATATAATAATAATAATAACAACAAAAACAAAAAGAATAAGCTGCGCACATATAAACTGCTAAAGAAAAATTGCCAGTATGAAAATTATCTAACAACAGTAACAAATGCAAAACATAGAGCAGCATAAGCAAAATTGAGAATTAGCGCCCACAATTTAGAAATAGAGAAAGGACGATACAAACAAACTCTTTGCAGTGGTAGAAAGTGCACTGCTTGCGACCAAAATGAGATTGGAGACGAAATGCAAGCTGTATGAAAATGAGAGAACTGAAATGTTGAAGGAGATAAATTTAATACATTGCAACAACACAAATACCAATAAATTGATAACAATGCTAACAAGCAATTAACAGCCAAAAATTATTTCAGTGCCAGAAAAAATCATTTCAAAAAACTACCTGCTGTTCCTAAATAAATAAACTATTTCTTTTTTTCTTTTTTTTATTCTTTTCAATTTTAGCGCTTCCATTTTGTTTCTTTCTCAGTTTTTCATCTTTATTGTAATTTTCTTTTTCTGACTCAATATCCAAATAAGGAAACGATTATGCAATAAAGATTATTATTATTATTATTACGCATGGAATTGAGGATTTGCAAGACGGATAATTTTCGCCTGAAGGTATTTTGTTTTTCCAGTCTCGCGAGCCGGCTTAAGTTATAGAAATATACACTCTCTACATTTTAAACCATTTTGTTAATAGGGTTGCACCGCGCCAATAAGGTCCGGTCTGTACACCGACGATGCCGTGTATACTTACAGACGAAGTCCTTGACCTGTCCAGACCCAAAACGCATCATGATATATAAATTGAATCGTGGCGAATAATTTTGTAAACGGTGAAACCAGATGCCTGTAACTTGTCTGAAAAATAGCGCGAAACACTATAGGAAAGAAATGTTTTTCCACCATATTGAATTTTGCAAAAGGTTGAAAATTGAACCATAGACACCCCTGTGCTAACACCAACTGTGAGCCACTCTTTTCAAATAACGTCGTTTTTTAAACTTGTGTGGTTATATTGTCAAGCAATTTCATTGGGAAGATTGGGATCAACATATCAAATTTATTTACAGATTTTAGTTTCTACTGTCTACATGTGTTATATAACATCGTATTACATTGTAACTTCTTTATTGATTTAATGTTGCAAGTTAAATATAGGTCTCGTCGACTATTTTCATAACCTTTAACCCTGTAACTATTACTAATTACTGCTTGCTATGAATCTTTCACTTTGAGTTGAACCAATCACAGTTCTGTATTGTACCAGATGTTTGGAGGAAGTAGATTTTGTTCTGACTTCAATGTACGTATTACAATAAATAGGACCTCATGGATCTCTGATTTGATTTTGTTTCTTGGAACTTTACTCTATACAACGCAACCCTATCTCACCCACCAAAACATATAATAAAGGGAGCGTGAAAATTATTTCCATATAATGTAAGTCTAATGACAATTATTTATATACAATTTGAGTATGCTTTTTTCATGATTTGCAAATAATATTTCAATATTTATCATATAATTGAACAAATGAAAATTATTTATACATAGTGTTGACAATACAATTCATTCATATATAATATATGGGAATCAAAATTGTATATAAATGCAGTTTTAATTATATAAAAATAAATTTAAGGTTACCTTATAATTTGTAATGACATTTGATATACATATATATCAAATATATAATGAAGAATTATGTATTTATTACAAATAATTTGCTTATTACAATAACATGATAATGTGTTTATACATAATATAATGAAATTAATCTTGAATATAAATAATGAGCTATCGTTTATTATATACAAATAGGTTTAATAATTCACTTAATTATATACAAACAATTCGTACCACAGTATTATGTACATATATAATGAAGAATCGTGTAATTATTATAATGAGCTAATATCAATAAATGTACAAACTGCACCCCGTAGTCACGTACTATTTAACATAAATATCATCTCGTATTGACCCTACTACTGACCATAATAGGGGATTTTTCGTTCAACTGCGAGGTCTCGAAAGACGCGCGTCGAACGTCTGCCGCAAAAATCGAATTTGATTTTGAACTCGAATTTCTTTATTTCGTAGCTCACATCGACCGGCCGATCTTCGACAGAGGAATATTGCTTTCGAATACCGTGTTCGCCATGTTCGCTACCGCTGTACACATGTACGTAGACACGATGACAAACCCGGAAGTGAGAATACTGGCAGCGCTAAAACAACGTGCAAAAGCCGCCGTTTTGTTTGTGATGTAAGCGGATGAGAGTTTTAATATAAAATGTCACGTTTTGTAAATTCAATACAATTTTGTGAATTTCATGTATTAAAAATTATATTTACTACAAA